TCTAACTTTACTTTTTTGTAGGTGTTTTTATATTCACATTTTATATTTCTATACTTACATTTGTATTTATTTTTCACAAGCTTTGTCTACAAGATTTATTCTTAATGACAATAAAGTATATTATTATTATTATAGTTTTTCGGCAGGAGTTTACCAGAACCTGCGGTGTAGGTAGGTAGGAAGATGAATATTTCGTGATTTTATTTCGAAATATTTATAATTGAAATCATTCATAATCGTATGATTGGTGTATTCCAAAGTAATTTTAACACCGTCGACAATCATTATCAATATGTACATCATTACAAATTTAATATAAAAGATAACTTAAAATGAACTTTTAAATTAACCCCTATGAATGAAATCCTTCAAAAGTCTTCAGAAGACTCGCGCGGGCAAATTAACGAGGCCATACCTTTTAATGTGCGATTCTGATAGAAATTTGAATGTCAGAGTTCAATTCCAACAAAAATAAGCAAGAGACCTTTCCTGTCGAACATTTCATAATAAACAAAGAGGTAATAGGTACATGGATATTTTATGTATTATTGATAGTTTCCGTGATATCAAGACCCAATGGTTTGTTTTAAACTTTGTTAATGAACAAAAAACTCCACTCAGGTTTGCTCTGAGTTCTAAATTGTCGTAATTTTTGTGTTTTGTTTAACTGGTATAACTAGGTATTTGGTTGAAAGAAATGGTTAACTGTCATCATGACAAAAGTGTTTGGATAAAGTAGATCCAGAATTGGATTCAACCATATAAAATCAGTTGTCAAATCACCTACAATACTTACAAAAAAATGAAATTTCATTCATTTCAATGTCATAAGTAGGTACTCTCTTTGTTTCTGTCTTTGTGATCATTATAGATTTTTTCATGCAATATTTATATGATATAAAAGAAAAACAATATTATTTGAGAATGGAAAGATAATTCCATATGAAAGGAAGAAATTATCTTCCCAAGTAATTTGACAAAAAATATTCGGAAAGTATTGATTAACAAACCCAGCTTTCATTATTGATTTGTCAAAAATGTTGATGAAATAATTAATCCAATATAAATGTAATGACTTACCACTAGTTCAGAAGATAATTCTATGAGCTGTTGATGCGGAACGGTCACATGACACTACACCATTTAACATCAATTCACTTTTAAATTTCACCGGAAAATAATATGAGCAATAATCATATTAAACTACAAACCAAAACAGCTGAGAGGAATATGAAATTTCTTAACACTTTGAACTTTGACATTTGACACATAAACATGAATTGGTTGTGTCTAAGACGAAAATGCGGAAAGCGTTGTGCTGAATGCAGCATAGAAGCACTTTTTGATTAAACTGAAAGCGGTATATTTTTCATGGAATACTTTTTTTTAGAATAAAGCTTTTTCGATTTTGCTTCTTCATCTCTAAACAAAAAATTGTGGGAAACTTCCAAACAAAGGAATACGGGAACTTTCGAAGGAAGGAAGAGAGCAAACAATAAGTTCAAATAAACCCATTCAAAACAATAACTGTTTCCAAAACACCAGAACTGCAACACTCTTTTTGAGGCATCTTAGCAAACAATAAGTTCAAAATAAACCCATTCAAAACAATAACTGTTTCCAAACACCAGAACTGCAACACTCTTTTTGAGGCATCTTCAACGTCTACTTCATCTCATGAAGACTCCAAATTGGTGTTTGGGAACTGAGTTTGGGAACAGTGCTTGTTTTGGATTTGTTCTACACCTGAGGTTCCGTTTCTATCTTTCATTTCATTCTCAAAAAATTTTTTGAAAAGGTGTATAGATCTTGCATAGAAGTTACTTTCAGATACGAACTGGAAGAAAAAGTCCTTCACTAAAAACAGATATCATTCATATGAACGATACAAAATATATTATATGAAAGAGTTATGATATAAAATTTCACTTACATGCAAAACTATCATTCTCAACGGTGTACTTCGAAGTTTCAGAATAAGACACCTGTTTTATCACCTCATCAACACCTTTTCGGATGACATTGCAAGGCGAGGCACTCATTTCATTCATGACATTACGACTTTTGGTCACTGGAATAGACAACTCCACTTATGTCGCACTGATAGTACAAAAAGACATTCATATGCTTGTTTGATTTAATCCCAGCCATAGAAATCTTATTTTAAATGGCAAGGGGTATATTTTTCAAGAGGTATTAGTATTTAGGAAAAAAGATTTCTGGCTTTCCACTTCTTCATCTTTATACAAAAAAATTGAAAACTTCCGAAGTAATTAAGAAACTAATTAAATACAAAATGAACTCTACAAAGATATATAGATCGTGCATAGAAGTTACTGAATGATATCCAGGCCATGTATATATAGCTGAGTCATTAACACACTTGATTAATGTATCAAGTGAAACGAGAAACTTTCCAGAATATTTAAATCGGTGTTACCCGTATCTTTGAGAAATGCATCCTCAGTAAAATGCTTTCCTTTCTCAACTAATATAAAATCGTTACAAATCTGTCTAATAAATCGACGGAAAGTGCAGTTGTTTCACTTCTCAATTTTATACATTTCTCATTGGATCCAAAAAGTACGTAGAAGCCCATATCTATCAAAGGCATTTGACCCAATAGATACAAATATTATTCTATAAAAATGACGTGCCACATTTTTCTATACGTGGATGACATGAGAATAGCCATGGAGGCTGACTCTCTTGAAGAACTGGAGGATAAATTACAAATTCTGACTGGAGAATTCACTTCTTGGTGTCGAAGAAACTCTTTGTCAACGGTAGTAAAACGGCATGTATTCAATTTTGCAAATTTTCATTGTGGATCACTGAACAGTTCTGCCAACATTGAGTTTTCAGAAAATAGTTGTTGAGAATATATTTCGATCGAGACACGAGCTGAAAGAACCACATTAAATAAATTGCTAAAAAGTTATGTAGTAGAGTAGTAGTTACTCTGCAATTCTCCAAAAGAATTAGAGAAAGGATAGCATTTTCACACTCCCATTGTCTGGTCTATTTAGTTGTTCGAAGTTTCGGCTTCGACTTTGAAGCCATTTTCAAGAAATCCTGACTACAGTGAAGTCTCAATCGACATACTCCTCAAGCAGTGTCACGCTGTTGGAGTTTGGTGACTTGACGCCGTGATCTCAATCTGCCTACTCTCAAGTGTTGACTGTGTGCCTACAAGTGGAAAGTCATCTTCGAGTCAGTCGGGATGGAGTCCAGCTCCCCTACCCTTTCGGCTGAAGTGTGGGCCCACAAGTTCTGGTTTGGCATTTATGTACCTGGGCGAGGTAGTGAGAAGGGGGTTGTGACCTGCAGAGGTGTGCAATGTTGTAAGATATATAGCTTGACAGAAGTGATCTCTATGAATGAGGTAATCTTTGTGAATCATCTCGTTTGTTGAGACATTCTTCATTTTCACACCTCATATATATGATCTTTCAAAAATACACAAATAAAACATTCCACTTGGTCCCATCGTCACTGTCTAAGGTTCCCCCACACAGCACTTTGCTAATTCCCTCCAAGAACTTGCCGAACAGTCCTCATCATATGTCCAAAATTCCTATAACATAATGGAAAAGCAACAGCTAACCCATCGAATGCCTCGCAGAAAGCTGAAGCAATGTGTTCCGTTTAGAAGATTCATCGCAGGTTACTTCCTATATATGAAAAGCTGAAAACAGTTTCATATGGACAGGATGACAACCTCACAGAACGGTTTCGGCGTACTAGCTAATCGTCAGTGCTGGGTGGGTCAAACGGCTCAATCACAAGCATCGACGGTGGGGAGTAAGCAGTACGAGACCCTTGCAGAGACCAGCGAAGATACCTTGGGAGTAGGCAGATTGAGGCCCCGGAGTTAAGTCACAAAATTCCTGCAGCTTGTCACTACCTGAGGAGTAGGCAGACTGAGACCTTAGTCTAGTGACAGCTTCTTGAAAATGGCACACACACTGAACTCAGACATGATTCAGTATCATGCAGAACAGGTATCTACAAAACATACCAATTCGTTATTCGAGAGATCTCCGAATTGCATTTTTCAATTGTCTCCCTATTAACATTAGAGGTGAACAAAACTTCGTGAAATTCAAAGCCTAATTGAGGTCACACTTCGTAGAGTAATGTTTTACAAGGTTGCAGAATACTACCCTGTAATGAAATGAATATGTTCATGCTCTTTGTTCTTCAATTTGTTTTTATTGGTTCTCTTTGCTATATTTTCTGACAATCTATATCACGAGAGTGATCTTCAGAAGACAAATGAATTTATTATTATTTTCTTGGGTGTCAACAGCATCGACTTCTTAGTCATTAGCCTCGGTTCTGGGAAGGCAATGTTGATAACTTCCCTCCTAGAGAGAATCATGGTTATTCCTAGGAGGTCAGCCACGTAGTATTGCAGAATCATCCCAATTTCAACTACATAAATTCTCTCGAAGAAAATCTGGTCAAGGTTAGGATCGAACTCATGACTTTTCGATCGTAAGTCAGGCGCATTACCACTGCGCCAATTCACCACTTACCATTATTATTACAAACAAAAGCAGTTCACAATGTTTAAAACAATTTTATTCAGAGGCACTTTATGTACACTGATATAGGACCTTATTCAATGCATAATCTTACTTTAAATAAAATTTTGAAAACTACAGTCTTATGATACAGTAGTCAAGTACCAAAAATCAGATGAATAAACAATATCGAAGTATAAAATCTAAACTTAAAACAATATCTTTGGTAGAATCATAGCGATTATATGGTCTTCTCTCTATAAAGTTTGAGTAACTCTGTCAGATTTTCACTGGACAGTTGAGGTTTTGAAAACTGTACAGGGAAAATCTCACAAAAGTTACTTGAATATGTTACAGATTGTCATCAAGTGTCGGCCAATTCCATCACTCATATAAAGTTTGAGTTGAACAAAGAATGAAACTTTTCAGTAATATGTTAACCTGTTTTGAAAAAACTATATATTGATGAATATCATTGGAAATGTAAAAAGTTTCAATAAATCAGACCAATATCTATTCTTAACCAGCATAATCAAGTACACGATTCTTCTTACTGAGTGCGATTATAGGTATTATCTCTGTAATTTGAGACCTATGCGAATGTAAAATGGAAATATGTTTGTCTTTCCCCAGTTGACCTTATATTTTTGACATTATATTTTTAAATAACTTCTCAAGTTAATGTTGATTCAAATTTTAGTATGACAAGAATGTATAAATAGAAATAATTTACAATTATTCCTATGTTACCAAACAGCCACAAAATTTTTTCTATACTACTCTATGGCACCACAATACTGTTATAATAATTCCTAATAGCCTAAGGGGTTAAGACACAAAGGTTTCCAACAAAATCTAATTTGATCCCATGAGCATTATGTGGATATTTCATACCTTAAAATGAAGAGGTACCGAATTTCCTGTTAAAATTTAGTATCTACTGATTATATACCCTGTGTTTCCTTAATTGCTGCTCATTTCAATTCTTGATAGAATTAATAACTGACTGGGCCAAAAATGGAACTCGCTTTCAAACTGACTGAATAGTATAATACTGTTTCTTGGAGAGAGAATTTATATACGTCGCCGTTTGGTACTTGGAGTTATTACTGTCACCGGACTAGATTTGCCACTGGACCCAGAATCATCATTGGGCTTTAAACTTCCTCTTGTAGGTCGCTTTGTCAGCTTTGGAGTGTCCTCTAACTTGGATTTTGAAATTTTATCCTCTTTAGCAGCAGATAATGAATTTCTTTTAGCAGGAATTTTATTACTTTTCTCTGGTTCTTTTTTCAAATCCTTTTTAGTTAAGGTAGGAGTTCTGTTAGTATCTCTTCCTTCTCTACTATCACTGCGCTCTTTTGTATTTCTCACAGTAACTTTCTCCTCTTTCTTATGTTCTTTATTTGTCTTGGCCAATTCCAGGCTACTTTTATTAGCTGTCAATTTTTTTTCGTCATCCTCCTTATTTATTAAGTTACCAAATTCTTGTTCTGGCAGTATAAAATCTTTTTCCAAGTTCGGGAATGGAATAGATTCACATTCGTCCAGGGCTTCAAGGTTGTACATAGTTTCCAAGTGAGCCCATACTTTGTCAGGGTTTATATCTTTGTGCAAATTGTCCGTAAATTTATCGCAAATGAAGGCCATTTGAAAATATTTATTCAATCCTGAAGAAAAAGTCGTGTTTTCAATTTTCATTACATTGTTATTCAAAATACTAACCTACAGGTTTGTGTCCAACCATGGCATCCAAAAGTTGACCTTCATTAACTACATCCCATTCAATGTCATCCATTATTTTGATTCTATTTTCGAACTATGGAGAAATACACTATGCACATTTAATAATATATCATATATGAAACTCTGAATTGACAATTAATTTTATAATTATCTGAACGGCCATTTATTAGGGGAGTGCCGTACGAATTGCCATTTTGGCAACCTTGAAATAGTGATGGAATAATTCGAATTGAAAACAATGGGTTATTCAATTATTGCAATAATTCGAGATATCTCGAGAACTTAAAAGGTATCATTCGAATGATGGAATTCATTCAAATGCCTGAATACGAATGACGATTTGACGAAAATCACCATAACAAAATCATCGGTTAAGATATGTTCCAAAAGTAACTAGAAATGTGGCATATGACAAGTTTGGATTTGGTATATTTGAACGGGTTATTGACAAAAGGTACCTCGATCAATTTTATGTTGTTTCAAGAATAACAAAAAACTATGAAAATAAAATGTACAAATTTTATTGACTCAGGTACTTTTTAACACTGAACAGTTCGGGTTATCAAAATTTGGATAATGAAAACAGTGAACTACCTAGTTTTTTTGTACACATATCAAGAAAGGCATATAAAAACTCAATAAACCTAACGTGAACCAAGTGAAAACTCAGTTAACTTTGAAACCAATAATATAACAGATTGAAGTAAAGAATGGAAAAGATATGTTGTTGTCAGCTTATGAAATTCTTCAATCTTAGATTTGTGATTTTCATCTTCCTCCGACGATTCATCAGATTTTAAAAATGACTCTTGAAAACGAACAGTCAACTTCAATAATTCAGTTTGAATATTATAAATCGATCATTCGAAAATACTTTAGCAATTTAGTTTTTAAAAACACAATGTGTCTGTGTCCTGTTTCAAAATCAACCAACAATAATATATTTTTCAGGTAACCTCGCTGTTAAAAATTCTGGTAAGCAGTTATAAAATGATTATATTTGGAACATATCTTGTTGGAAAATGAATACATTGAAAACATCATACAAAACGTGTACAGAACCTCAGAGTAATATGCACAGAATACTGATTGTAAACTTTTATTACTCTAAGTACAAAACGGACGATTTGAACCTCAGAGTATTTGAACTTCGAATACTTATGACAAATGACAACTGACACTAATGACAAATGAGGGTACAAGGGTAGAAGGCGGTTTGTCAGTAAAAATCCAAACTCCGTATTTTCACGCCATCTGGTATCCAAAGGCTGAGTCTTATTATTGTCAAACCTTATATACGTTCAAAGATATTCAGTATCGGTCAATAACGCGGGATATCCGTGCGGTACTATGCAAAAATGGGGAATGTCCAATATCGTGTTGGTAGGTATCTTACAGAAAGCGAGTTAATATTTTCGATATCGCAGATTTGTCACTGTTTCATCGGTGTGTCTTGTGTTCATGATAACAAGAGTTATAATTATTCATACTTGTTTGTGAATTAAAAATGGATACAGATGTGCAGGAGGATGTGAGGAGTCATTGTGTCGAAAGTGAGGGGAAGAAAAGAAAGAAGTATGGAAGATTGCGTGATGTAAATAAAAAACTTAACCTACAAAGCCATGTAACTGGGGAAAATAGGGAATGTTCCTCCTGACGAAAATCAAGTAGTTTTCATAAAAGAGCTCTAAAATTTTAAACTTATCATTTCAACTTTTTTCTTTAAAAATTATTAAAATACTTGAAAAAGAGGAATGAAATAATGCATTCAACATTTAAAGGGATTCGTTTCTATTTCATCATTTGGCAACATCGGTTATAGCTAATAAAGGACAATGAATATGTTACCTGTATGAGACAAACAAAGATGACATATTTCAGAGGCGTGCTGTTCTGTTTACTTATGTTCCGAGTTCCGAGACATTCTGTGACATATGACATTTTGTGCACCTAATCTATCTTCCTCTATATAAATAAATAACAAAACAACTGTTGTTTCTGTGGCTTGCGGAGGTGGTATTGAACTATAATTTATATTTTGCCTTAATTGTTGATTTATAAAGATAATTTCTCTTTTTTAAAGTAGAATATCTAGGTACGCATAAATTATTTCAACTTGATATAGGCGTTGTTGCCAATATGTGAATTAGAAACAAATCCCTTTAAAAATTAAAACCCAACATTTGAAACATCAATTTGAATACTTTTCGAAGTGAATTTGAAAAACTCATGAATCAAACTAAACTTTATTTTGTTCAAACTTGCATTTGCTGTAATAACACAAATTGAGGAACATTCCTCATTGTCACTGCAAGAGGCTCAAATGTTTTGAAATAGTTCCTTTGAATGCCAGAAATAATATGATTAGAAATTTCAATTTACTGGAAAGTGTAGACGAACAAAACATTTATTTGTGTGGTATGATCACGGTTCATCCTGTGCAGCAACGTCGGTCCAGAGTAGCTGATAGAAACATCGCAAAGTTTCCGGAGGGATCCTATACCTATAGAGTTAGGGTTGTTACTGATGGTAAAATATGCGAAATTCCGGTATGTTGAAAAGTTTTTCTCTCTCTTCATGGTATCAAGAGCAAAAAACTTGATGCAAAAATCGTTAAAAGAATTGGGTACTCCTCCAAAAGACAAACGGGGTCGGCATAAAACCAAACCAAACAAACTCTCCTCAGACGTGAAGAATTCTATAATTGACCATATCAAATCGTTCAAGGGCAGACAAAGCCATTATAGTTCGAAAGATTCTTCAAAAATGTATTTACCAGAAGAACTGAATATTAAAAAAATGCACCGTATGTATCTGGAAAAATTTCCCACTTTTTGTGTATTTTATGAATCAAACCGAACCATTTTTGTGAGAGATTTCAATATATCATTCGGATACCCACGTTCTGTGACGAATATTTGGCCAAGAAAAAAACTTAGAGGCTCAAGTAAATAACACTTCGTTGACTTCGACAGACAAGTTTGCAAGACAAAGACTTCAAAGTGAAATCAAAAAGATTTCAGCGTTCAACACACTACATAAAAAAAAAACTGAAGAATTCTATAAGAGAAAACAAGAAGCAAAAACTGTCAGTCGAACCGTTCCCACTGAAGAAGCAATATGCATGGACTTTGCTAAGAATTTGCCCACACCCAACATTTCAACAAATGACGTCTATTACAAAAGGCAACTGAGTGTTTATTCATTTAATGGACACGCGTTATCAAACAGCCAGAGTATCTTCTACATGTACCCAGAAACCATCGGACGGAAGGGCAGTGACGAAGTATGTTCTTTCTTACACGATTTTGTATACAACTTCCTGGATGAAAGAGTTCGACACTTAAACATATTTCGTGACTCTTGTGGAGGACGAAATAAAACTATACGGTGTTTAGGTATATTCATCATTTGGTTGTTCAAAAAAAACTTGAGTCAATTGAAATGTCATTTCCGATAGCATTCGTACATGGAGTGCAACAAAGACTTTGGTCTTATTAACCAAAAATCCCGAGCTGAACTTCCAAGTGAATGGACAGAAGTATTTAAATCAGCTAGGACAAAACCATCACCATTTGACATTGTTGAAGTTACTCGTCAATCATACATACAAAACCAAATGCCCCTTTCCGTCTCGGCCTATTAGAGAAATGAAAGTTCTGAAAGAAGACACACAACTCCTGTATTTCCGATCTTCCTGGTATGGCGCAAGGGAATCTTTAGTTTTGGTTGTCCCAAAGAAATGGAAGAAATATTGGAGAACAAACAGAATAGAAAATGAATTCCAATTACCTAGTGTAGCACAGGAAGGTATGTAGGATCACAATCATGATGATTTTTAGTGAAATATCTTTTTTTGTAGAACTTCTGCCAATATCCTCCGAGAAGTACAGTAACCTTTAAAGTCTTAAAAAGTTTTGTCAGAATGCTGCAGCTGATGAGTATTATAGCAGCCTGCCTCATGTAGATAAGAAAGGAAAGCCACGACTACCGCCAAATAAGCCGAAAAAGCAGGATTCCGGAGGAAACCAATCTCTTCTGAGAAAAACAAAAACTAATAGGTCCTAATCATGACTTATAACTATATATTTCAACAGTTCCGCAGTGGTAATCTTTTGTGTTTTTATTCATCATTGCATTTTCACTTTCCAAACTTGAACATTTCGTTACATTCTCAGGAATATATTATATTGACATAACGTCTTCTTGCTTTTTTTATTCCTACACGAATCAAAAAAAAACTTTATTAAAAAAAATCTTTTGTCAAGCAGCTTTTTTACTTGCAGGCAATCCATCACAAAACAATAATGAATCATGCTTAAAAAAAGCTGGAAAAAAATCAAAAACTCATCTAAATTGTATAATCTTACTACATAAAATATACGTTTATTTCACCACCTTGTCTTTTTTTTCATGAATTCCTAAACAGTTCACAATCATATGAGACATTTATTGGGAGCTCCTCGTCGCAATATGAAGTCAGATCATGGTCACATATTTTTTGATCGAACCTCGTGCAGAGGTGCACAACAGCTCTTAGCCGACACCCTCCTGCCCCGCCACATGACAGCAAAAAATAAAATCTTATCCCGAAACATCAAAGACAACGACGAGAGTGAATTTACTTCTGTTTACTTATGTAAGGTGTACACCTCAGAGATGTACACTGAGATACAGGGATGCCAATTTGCGACTCTTCTTCTTATTATTCTTTTCAATTCAATGGCCTCAGGCAACTAAGCTATCCGGCCAGTTGATAATTTGAGACTCGATATAAGACACATGACAGACCCGATGTAAGACACATGACATATATTATAATTCACAAATTTTAACGGTGATAATTGAAGTTGAACACAAATATTAAATTTTTAGGAATATGGAAAAAAGTTTTCAAAGTTCATTTTCGGTCAAGAGTCCTTTTTCGCCGAGATCTCGTCAGTCAATCGGTTCCAAACGCATTCTTCCTAATTCTTTCAGAAAATCATCGTAAGCCCTACTCCTTGTCCAGTTGCAATTTGAAAACTTATTTTGATTTTTTAATTCTAGCCGCCTGAGTGTCTCAGGGAAATCTACTCAATCTGTACAGATAGTTTTAAAATCGAATCACTATTATGTGGAACGATTTGGACAATCTTTACCAGTTCTAATAACAGAAGCTTTGACATTTGCCGATCGTAAGTTATGTTTTTAAATATCCTTAATTGTTGTAGCCAATTTTTATTATGTTACAGGTAACACCGTTGTATCGGCACGAATATCCGAATGCGGTTTTGCTTGGGTTGTTTGTGGCAGAAGACTTCTTATATGGCAGTATCGTCAGTCTACATCTGGCGCAGGCACCCCTCAGAGAAAACATGGGAACATCAATCAGTGTTTCGAATTACAACTTCCACAAAGTGATTTGGCACATCGAGCAGAGTTGGTGACGGTATTCATTACTGCTGGTTGCAATAACCCTTCTTGTATTGCAGTATCTCCAGAAGGTATAATATCAAATTAGCTTTCGATTGGTTTTTTAATGAAGTTGCCATTTGATGTTCCTCTGTACTGACCAGAAGAATAACTGCCCTGAAGATAAAGAGGATAAAGAGCAATCATTATTTAGATTATATATTAGTGAATGTTTTTATTTGATTCATACTTTGATTCCAATAATTGATAAGTTTCATTTGAAGGCATGATTGGGAATGTTAGCCAATGTTTCAAATTATATTTAAATCATCCTCCGGGTTATGAATAGAAATTATATTACCAATTACTGTTTTTTTTTAGTATCTGTCTATCACTGCACAGTTCAGTAATGGGAATCAACTTTGAATTGAATAAAAAAGGGAAATCTGAAACCAAAAGTCAGTTTTCCTGGGTTTCAATGGTTCAAAATAATAACTTAGATTGGACATCAAATAATAGGATAATACTTTTTAAAATATGTTTATACATTTATTATTTCGTAAAATAATTCAGCTTATTATTTAAAAAAAACTTTCATTTGNGTACATTATGCTATGATTTCATTCTCTACAAATGGAAGTACACAGATAAAGGATTTCCTTATATTGAAGATGTCAGGATTGTATAGAGAAGACAATCCTAGTGAATCCCTATCATATAGATTTTTACTTTGTGGTAAGCAGATTTAAAAGGCAGTTCTCTATATCATTTTTCTATTGATTCAAGATCAGAGTGATCGTTTTCCTTGCACTAGAGCTGTGGGATTGAAATCTATATTTTTACGTTTCAGGAGTATTGAGGTATTGGCCTGCCGTAGCACATGAAGGTGTCACAGTGGAGCAAACTGTTGACCTTCAGGGACAAGAATGTGATAGTCTAACCAATGTAGAAGGTTTGGGATGTATATTGGCTACAACAACCTGTTCTGTTGTTCTGGTTCAGCCACAAGTGAATAATTGTAGGCATAGTTTAATCTGCAAACCTCTCAAAACACCAAGTGGATGGTTGGGGGGAATTAGTAAAAGGATGTCTTCTTTGATTTTTGGTCCCAACTCTAATGAACAATCATCTGAAACGGTAAGAATCATTTGTTATGCAGACTAATCAAAATATAAAAATAATGGCTGGAACTGTGATCAAGACAAGATAATATTAATTAATAAACCCAAGGCTTCAACTCTTATTAAAGTATCAATTTCTTCGTTTTCATAAATGCTTAATTCATACATTTATTCACCCTTCAAAGCTTGATACCAAACAGTTGTTGGACTACAGAAGGGATGAACTACGATGTCTAACAGGCCTTCTTACAGGTCACTGTCATTTAATAATAATAATAATGATATTTATTGATTTCTTCAGGAAATCCTACTATACATACATTATTTTTAAAATATATAAATAAATGACATAAATAACAAAAATGATGATATGATAGAAGAAAAAAAAATAATAAAAACCATTTTTCAATGATTCCAGAATGGTTTCAACATGAGGATATACATAATAAATATATTACCAAATAGAAAAAAGAAAATCAAGGATAATATTTTATATGTTCATGAGTTTTTTTTTAATTGGAAACCATTTATTGAATCTTTCAACGAAAGTGGGAGTTTGTTATACTCATTCAAACCTTTATAACATAAAGTCTTCATCGTACTAGTCAAATTAGTTCGAGGAAGGTGGAATTTTTGGGAGCTTCTCGCTCTTGTTAAGTGGTTATGGATTTGAGTTGTAAGCAAGTTATGTGTTACTTTAAAAATGAATATCATTGCTAACTCTACAGTCTCTGGGAAACAGACAGCCACTGCAATTAAAGCCGATACCTTATTTTGGTCAAATGAGTATAAAAGACTGGCACAATAATCAAAATGGGGTTGGATTATACAATTATATAATGAAATTTTTGAGTACATCGTAAGCTGAGATGAAATTCTTGGGAAAAAATATATTTTGTAGTCTTATGTTGAGATTGTTGATGAGTGATAGCTTATAACCAGTTGATAAGATCATATATTTTGTTTTGGAGGTGTTGAGTTTTAGTTTATTGCGATTCATGTACTTGAAAACATTTCTTAGTTCATTATTTGAATCATCAGACTCATGAGACTCAGACTCTCGGAAGAAGTTGTGCGTCGTCTCTGTTTGGAAAATGATGAAACAGCAGAGCACATACTTTGTGCCTGCCCTTCTGGGGACCGAATCAGGTTTTTAGAGTCGGGCAGAGCCGTACTCTTACCATCTGACCTGAAAGACCACTCGCTATACAAACTAATCGGCCTCGTTAAGAAGCTGGGTTTATTTGGTTGACTGTGAATAGGATTGAGCCACAATAAACCCTTGCGGGTTGCGTTGGAGGGTCTAATAGAGCCACTCACTTTGGACCTAACCTAATCTGGAAGCATATATTATGTATTTTATTCTATCTTCATTTTGTAAACATCAAACTTTTGACTTTTAATAAGCTCTTATAAAGAATAAAACTGGTTATACCTGAAGAGTTTTGAAATTTGATACATATTTACAGTATCAATATAAGTGTCTTAACATAACCTTATTTTGACTGCTTGTTACGATTGAGAATTCTATAACCTATCTTATATATACATCATTATGTTTCTGTAATTTATTCAATTAAAATTCATGATTGCGTTCATGATTCAATATCAGATATCGCTATTGATATTGCCCTAGAATTATTCAGAAATGTAACGTTTGAACTTTTCTGTGCTTGACAAGAATGATTCTGAGTAAGACCTGAGTCTCCTGTTTTATAAGAATCAGTGATGCTCACTTCTTACTCGAGATTGAAAAAAACATTTCCAAGGAAAAGTCTGATATTTTCGAGACGAGGTTTCCTGGAGATTTAGTGTTTTATTTGGAAAGAGAAATAGGCTGTTTCAATTTGTTATATCAAGTGTTTCTTATAGCATATGTATAAATATATGCCCTTTTTTATTAAACATATTTCTCAAACTGCTTTTGATTATAACAAAATTTGTGATGCACTGCCCTTTGGTGTAGTAATGAATATTGAAGATGATCACTTGATGATCGAAACACGTGTTGAGGTGTTAAAATAACGGTTTGGTGTTGGGAAAAAACTTCAGTAATATTTATAGCAAAATTGTCAATTTTTAGAGGCTTGTTAGAGTGTTGAGCATTCCAAACAAAGATTCTACATGGACCATATATGTATTAGCTGGCCATTCTCTCCAGAAATGGATTCTGTCCAATCATGATAATGAGCAGTTGGTTTCTATAACCGAATTAAATAGAATGGTCAGGGACCAGTTCCATAGTGCAGTTTGGGAAAGCTGCGTTGGAGACCAGGCAGAAATTGATACTTGGTTATTAGATATACAGTCTGATAAGGATAATATCATCATTTTGGCTGCTGCTGTTAACATGCAGATGTCACCTCAAGTAAGAGTTTTTTTGAATTAAATAACAGTTGTGTGACTTCTCGTTATGAACTAGTTGCATGTTAAAACCAACATCTTTTTTTTAGGTACATTATGCTATGATTTCATTCTCTACAAATGGAAGTACACAGATAAAGGATTTCCTTATATTGAAGATGTCAGGATTGTATAGAGAAGACAATCCTAGTGAATCCCTTTCATATAGATTTTTACTTTGTGGTACAAGTGCATATGTGTATAATCTGAAAACTATTACCGTTTTGAAACCTCAAGAAGAACCTGATATATTGGAATTCAATTCATCTCAAGACTTTTTATTAGGTAATAATGAATAAAAAAGCAGAATTTAAAAATATGTCAATATCGAATCTGAATTTATAAAAAAAATCAGGTTGAAATTGTTTCATCTTGAATTCGATTCTCATTCATTTTCCAGGAGGGTCCATTTGTGTTAATACCCCAGTTTTTTTCTCAAGACTTAATGGACTAGTGGCAGTTTGCGGTAACGATCAGATTTGCGATTTTCTAAATCAAACTGCAGGCTCTGGTACACCCATAGAAACTTCTTTTAATGAATCTGTTGCTGTAAATAATTTGTCTGTTTACAATATAGATCCTGATGAAATATTCAATGCACACAAAGACACAATTGGCCAAATGAAAGCTGCATTCATTTTTCATATTCGAAATCAACAGGTACGAGAAAATACATGTTTAACTAACCTGTACATCTTTTGAAAGTGTCAGTAATATTTCTTGTTGGATGGTGGAAAGCCAATTTTAAAAACTATCTACCTCAGAATGTTTCAATTGTTGTGTCCATAGTAACTGTCTAGTGATGACTGACTTATTCAGGTAATGCGAATTTTATTTAAAGCTCAATTTTATAATGATATTTTATTTGTCCTAAAGATTTTACAATAATGATATCATACATGTCATAGATAGAAAAGAAAAAAAAAATGAAATCATACAGACCATACAAAAATGAAAAGAAATCCTATATAATAATTAGAAATGCGTCAAATAGTGGTTTCACCAAATAACTGAATATTTTCAGTTTAACCTTTACCGATATTTACCGGATATTCGGCTGAATTATTCGTTTTAAATATTGATTTGAGGTTTGAAAATAAATGTTGATATACGTTTCAAAAATAAATGTGGATTTTATTTAGGTGTGAAAAAAAATGTCGATTTTAAGTTTAAAAATAAATGTTGGTTTAATTAAAGTTTAAAAATAAATATTTGTTTTGATTTGAGGTTGAAAAATAAATGTTTATACAAGTTTCTAAAATAAATGTGGGTTTGGTTGAGGTTTAAAAAAAATGTTGATTTTAAGTTTGAAAATGTTCGTTTAATAAATGTTTTATAATATCGTTTAGGTTTGAGGTTTAAAAATGAATGTTGAAGTTCAATTGCTTCATTTTTTCAGCTTTATTCAACACATTCTTCATAGGATTTCTTTGACTTATAACATAAATCTTACATAAGAATTATTGGGCACCAAAACCGAATGATTCTGCTGAATACAAGCAGTGAAAAAAATTTCTGTATGACTGTTATGTCATATAGACCCACGCGCCCCCCCCCTCCCCACACACATGTACGTATGCACACAGAGCAAAACTTCAATGAGCTTTCAATTAACAAATCGAAATCAATTGAGGGTGGTCTATAAATCGTACCAATTGCTGTTTTTTTAAAGTTGTCAGCACTTATTTTAACATATGATTGTACCAGGAGATTTTCAGTATGTTTTATCAATCTACCTATTTAGTGTTTCTGATTAAAAATAAGAGTCCCTCCATATACAACTTCTGTGGCAAAATGAATTACCCTGTCGCCCTTCGTGGTATTAGCCATAAGGCTAATGTAATCAATCATTTTTAGTTTGATGTATAAGTTTTAAAATGTCCTTATAGGACGAAACTGCAGTACGTTAGTTACAAATAAAAGTGGTAAAAAACATTGAGAGTTTCAATCCTAAATTTATATGAAGGTGTTGTCAATTATATACAGGGCTGTTTTGAATTTCTGGACTTCTATAAAGAACTAGTTTCTTCAAATCTCTCGAAACATTTAGACAATAAGAGTCAGAACCTCTGACATTAAATCTTAATATCACTCAACCTTAATATTCCTTTCACACATGTTAAATAACTATATTATTCCTATATCACTTATTCATAAAATCTTACTTTGATACTCTTTTATAGTCTGCATATCAGGAAATATTGAATGAATTATTCCCTTTGGAAGCCACGTTGCCAAATATAAATGGTCCATTGGATAAACTAGCGTTTCTGTGTTGTAAAGACTTGTTAGATGACATCCCAGCAGGTGATCCTAGATGGAACAAAGTTGCCACTGTAGGCCTTGGGAGCTCATACTCTATGCAAGTTCTACATCAGTTGGAAGACAAGCAAAAAGCTTTCTCTTTGTATTTACGATTTTTGAAAGAGTCTGGACTCTGGAATAGATTGTCAGCTTGTATCATCAGAGAATGTCCCATGCCTACTGTTCAGGCATTAGGTGAGTACAAAAATTTATTAAATGAAGTTACTGCTTTGAAATTCTTGATTACGAATGACGTTTCACGACTTTGAGCTATGTGCTCTTAGTATGACCTTGAGTATATGAGGTTTGGCTTTGGCAATGAAACCTCGTAGCTTTGTCTTGGGGTGTTGGTTATGCTCTTATAACAGGTGTGGTGCATATGTTTTAGTCATGTTGAATTCTCTTCATAATTGTGAGGTATATAATTACATTTTGAATGTATACGCGCTACCTAGCTACTAGCATTGGATAGGCGGCCATAATGCTTTTGAGAGGCTTTCACCTCACTCCAGTCAAGAAAATCAACCCCCGGTGTTCCAGGACCATTTCATCAAGTGGCCACTATGCAGCTTATATGCTAGCACCTAGTACTTGCGATTGTATTCTAGGACTTGGTTGGTGACCTTTTTTCCTCGTCCACAAGAGATTACAAGAGAAACCAGTCCGAAGCCACTGCCAAGTACCAGTAACCGTTGCTGAGTGGTGAGGGGATCACCCGTGGACGTTCTTGAGTGAGAATCAATATCCATATGACCAGCGTCATGTGGTAAGCCGCTAGAATAATAGGATTGGCAGTCGCGTCCGCCCAGAAGAATTATTTTTTTGTATCAGGTTCATATTATTATACATTCATTTTTATTTCAGGCCACAATAATTTATTTGCTCTGTAATTCAGTGTTCTTCCAATTTTTCCCATTTCCGGTTTCATTGCTCATTTATTTTTGTATAGTTTTTTCTGTTTCAACTGATTAATCTCAATATTTCGGTCTGATATAGTATTGAATATTACTGGAGTTTTTCCCCAACACCAAACTGTTATTTTAACACCTCGACATGTGTTTTCGATCACCAAGTGATAATCTTCAAGAGTTTTACCTTCCTGTTGAAGATGATCACATGGTGATCGACATGTGTCGAGGTGTTAAAATTATGGTTTGGTGTTGGGAAAAAACAGTAAAATTCATTACTACACCAAAGGTTCCAAACAGTGCATCACAAAATAGTATAGTATTATCAATAATTTTAAAATTTCATTCAACTTCATTTTATTTTTTTGTCCATAGATTTCAAATCTGTTAATATCTTTTTTTATACAATGGAAGTCCGAACTTGTAACATTTATATATTGAAGTGTTTCATACACAATATATTGTAATAAGCTTATCACCATTTTACTTGAAATAGTAACAATTGGCTTGGAGCCAGAAAGAAACTAGCATAAATTCACTTTGTTTTTGTTTTGTACAATTCACTGGACTACCGGATTTTATAAAATCTGAACCCTCATTGAATATTTTCGAAAATCACTACTGAAGATCATTCTGATGTATTTTTTGCCTATTTTATAATAATTTTATAATGGTTTTGCATCTGTTGAACCAAATGTTTAGTATTATTGTATGATGTGGGTTAAGTATAGTTTATCTCATATTTGCATGTTAGGGATTACTGCTCACAAAATAAATGTTATTATTATAGGTGAACTTTCGGAGAAAATCACTGCTGCCGTAGTAATGAAAAGTCTCCCCAACAGCTTGATTATGGAAGAGGCTCTAGAAAAATCTATTGCTTATTTTCAAACCGAACCAGGAAACGGTTTGACCAATCAAGATGTTTTTTATAGGGAAGTAAGCAAGGTTCAGCGGGGAATCCAAGAGTTGGTCAACTGTTGTGAGGATTCTGCCCATTCAGATCTAAATCCTGCCCAGATTGCCCAAGTTGTGAATGATACTAATGAAATCGTTCTGGTAAGTTTATTTCTACAAACCAGCACAAATTGAACATAAAATCAATATTGAGAAAGTATAGTAACAAAATTTGTATTTTGAAGCAAGCACACTTGAAAAAGAGCACTCCAAACCCAGGCATCAGTTGTCTCCAAAAAGATAAATGTGTGCAAACCGGATATAATAATGTCAGGACAGACAATTCTGCTTTCTGCTTAGGGGTTAAAATGGACACGAATATGTCTTAGATTAGGTTAGGTTAGGTCCAAAGTGAGTGGGTCTATTCGTCCCTCCACCGCAACCCGCAAGGGTTTATTGTGGCACACACACCTATTTACACTCAACCAAATAAGCCCAGCTACTTAACGAAGCCGATTAGTTTGTATGGTGAGTGGTCTTTCAGGTAGCAATATGTCTTAGCACAATCATGTCGCTGAAATTGCAAAGTCTGCTTCTCAAAAGCTTGGAATACTGTTCCGAACGAAAAAACTGTACACACATCAGCAACTTTTGATGCTTTATAAAGCTCAGATCAGACCTTCTTTGAAGTAATTTTCTCATGTATGTAGCTCCGCCCCTAAGCATATCCTGAAGCTGCTGGGTTCCATCCAGAAAAGAGCCATATGCCTGATTGGGGAACTTGCAACCTTGCTAGTCTGAGACATCGAAGAAAGGTTGGAAATTTGTCTCTCTTTTATAGATACTTTCATGAGAGGTGCCCAAGTGACTTAACATGTTTGATTCCACCAAGAGCGGTGAATAACAAAAATATGCGACGGACTGTATCTACTCATCATTATGTCGTTCAACTCAGTACACCTCGAACTCCACTGTTTGATAACTCTTTAATTTGGAGAACTGCGTTTAGTGAAATAAACTACATAATAACGTTTTTCCCAATGAATTCAATCTCCAGCGATTTGAATCTAACTTGAATCGCTACTTTCGCACAGGCACCGCTCTTGGAGCGCTTCATGGACTTTTCTATAGCGCTTGTGTTTNAGCGCCAATTAATTTTTATTGTTGTTTTTATTTTTATCGTTGTAATATCAAATAGTCTTATAACCAGAAATTCAGCTGCTTCTTGTTTTTTTAGAGTTTTCTTACATTTTCATATATTTTATTTTGCAGACTGTACTGAACGAAGTTATACAGTATCGTACTCAAAATGCTGAAAACTTCGTTCCTTCAGAAACTGCAAAGTCGCTCAACCTGGAGTATTTACCATGGACTGGGGCAAGTGGTAGCGAGGGTGTTGCTGATGCCCTTTTACAACAGGTATATTGTAAATTTCAATACAAATATATAATTTTGGATGATGCAACTAATTTTTCCTTTATTTTCAGTATTTCATTATTAATGTAAGTTACAAAAAGGATTTGAAGCTCTATGACTTCTATTTGATTATCTGCGAGCGCTTTTGACAGCTGGTCGTGCTGTCATCTTCTAGGCACTCTTCAATCTGCTATGACTTCTATTTGATTATCTTCTATCTATCAGATAGAAGAATGCCTAGAAGATGACAGCACGACCAGCTGTCGAAAGCGCTCGCAGATAATCAAATAGAGGTCATAGAGCTTCAAATCCTTTTTGTAACTACTATAGTAACTTTTGTAAACTACTGTGAAACAATATATTTTAAAAATTTTAGCACAGTTCAACATTTAATTATGGATTGAAATTAGTGAGCCAAGGGCAATTGAGAAATTCACTGCTCGATCATTTTGTTGCTCTCACAGACCTCCTGATGGATGGGAAGAAGGGACACTTGGAAAGCATAAAAAACAGACAAAGAGAAAGCATTGCTTACAAACAGTACTGCACTGATAGGCATAATCTGATCAAACCATTGTGTAAGTACATTAATGTACTTAATATATAGATTGAATAAGTATATTTTCAGTGAGTGAAAAAGAATATGAGAGGGCAGCACTGCTAGCTGAAAAATATTTGGATTTTGAAACTTTGGTTTTAATCTGTGAATTAACAGATAATCAAACACGTTTGGATGAATACATGGGCCGTTTTAATGATAGTGGATTTTCAGAGTACGTTTATAACTGGTACCTTAAACAAAACAAACAGGGGAAACTGATAGACAGATGTAGAAAATCTGGAACTGCGAGGAATAACCAAAAATTATCTGATTTCTTATCTGACCATCCTTCCCTGTCATGGTTGCAACAGATTTTTGATGGAAAATATCCAACAGCTGCTGACACTTTACGTGAGTCTATTTTTTTCAAATCAATGTTTTTCTGCGTAATTTCTACTTTCAATACTTTTTATATTACTCATGCTGAATTAGGAGTAATATTAACCTGTTTTGATGGATAATTAATGTTTTAGGAAATTTAGCCAACAATGAAAATGAGTCTCTAACGAGGCAAAGAACAATGTTAAGCCTTAGCAAACTAGCCAAACTTGCAGGACCGAATACCAATGATATAAATGAATATATAGAAAATGTAAACAATAGCCTTGATCTCGTTGCTTTCCAAGAAGACCTACCTGACTATGTTCTGCAACAGTTTGGATATGATGTGTCCCAACCTCCTGTTATCCCTCCTAAAGATCTGATCAACTTGTATATTTGTAAGGAATACACTGATGCAGGGGACTTGGAGTTCAAAAAAGCTTTGGATATACTCACATACATTGATAACCGGGAGCTTCAGGAAGATCTACGTCTCAAGATTTGGAGAAGTGCCATTTTGAGGGATTCTTGGAATTACAAGAATCTGGATTCTCCACTTGAAATTTTACAGGGCACTTTATTCTTCAAGCTGATTGATTTATCTTTGGTTTTAGGTGAGAATTTCACAGCAAATGTATAATTATGCCTAAGTGGCTGCTGGCCAATTGGTTAATACTATTGTGAAACTTCTGTACTATATAATAATAATAGCCTTTATTACCCAACAGTTAAAAACCATTTACAGGTTTAACAAAGTATGTTATAAAAGTATACTTTAAAACCCCTGGAAAGTAACCACTGCACTACTTTTATTGGAAATTTCTGTGAACATATTAATCTCTTCATTCTTGTTGTAACTTGTTGATATGACATTAATAGTTTGAATTGAAAGTTATATCTAGATTTGTGAAAAAATGGGATGAATTCTACAAAACTGTGATTGAAATCCCAATAAAACTGTGGAGTAATTTCAAAACAACACCTAATGATAAGTAAATGGTGCAACATACTAGTTTTTGTGTGCAAAACCCACAAAAACAGTACCTAACTGGTATTTTCCAACGTGTGAGTAACATGCTATAAATGCAATGTTTTGTGTTGATTTAAGATCATTGTCCTTCGGTATGAGACAAGATACACTAAGGAATTAAACACTTATTTAAAGAGTTGAATAAGTAAGTAGCTTTCAAAACTTTGAAACTCGTTTAAAAGAACACATCAATCAGTACCTATCCGATTTCGGAGACCAGAAAAATGTAATGTCTCTCAACAGACCTTAGATAACGGCCTTAGAATAAATGAAAACTGTCTAAAATTGTTGAGATCAGTACATGATAGAAGATTGTTCGATGATTTCTTGTCAATCAAATTGACCAAACGTGAATTGAGAAGGGTGTTGCATTTTTGATATTTGAGAGCAGTGATTGTTTTGTATTTATTCCAAGTCTCTTGTTTTTAAATGATTTTGAGAATCCAACTGTATATTATGAACACATTTACCATATATATTTCTGATTACGTTCAAAATCCTTCAGTACTTCGTTATTTATTATTCTGAATGTAGTTTTTGTGAAAAAGAATTGATGAATAATGCAAATTTTATTTTCAGGTGCCGATCCACAAACATTGCTTCCCCCTTTAGACACACTCACAGAAAGTGAAACGTTGCACCATTTGCAAGAAAAAAACAATTTCCAATTTCTCATTAAGACTGCTTACGAACATGTTTATAGATCACAAGTAATAGAATAAGTATATTTGTATTTTAGGAATTAAAATCACTTTTATTTTGTGAGAAATATTTTATTCTGAACTTCTATAGCTTTTCTATAGAAATGTTTTCAAAATTAACTTATATTAAACTTGAAATTAAAAAAATTCAGACAATTTTCCTAATTAATGTATCCTAGTCAAATCTTCGACCATCTTCACCAGATCATCAACAGTCATCTGAAAAAATGAATCAATGAAAATTATCGAAGATATTCAAATATTATTGTGTTCTTACTGTTAGTCCATCTGCAACTTCTTTCATTTTATCATGCGACAAATCCAAGAAACTTTCTATCAAATCACCATCTATGAAACCTTCACTATTTTCTGTTTTGATATCTGTATGGAAGGCTCTCCAATAGGAATGTTCGATTTTTCCTACCGATTTAATCACAGAAGCCAATTTGTTCTGGAAGTCCAACAGGAAGTCGTAGAAATCTTGAGGTATTTGGGTGACCAAACCTGAATAATGATTACTGAGTCACAAACTTTTCTGGAGTTGATTAATATAGAATATTAAATACAAAAAAGCAATAGATATAATTCATGCCAACAAAACTCTCACAACAAAGAAATTTATATAAAGAATATAAACGCGCCACAATCCTAAAAGAACCTCTACTGCTAAATGCTTTCAAAATGTCAGGGTAAAGTGACACGCAAAAATTCCTCAGTAATACTTCTGTCGATGACAGCAAGTTATTATAACAGTTTATTGCATTAAATAGTGGAGATCATCTTCTGAAATGAACTGTTCTATTCGTGAGAGCAAGATTTTGGTCCTGCATACCCAAAAATTTTCAATACAAGTTGTACTGCGATAACTATTTTACATGTGTTCCTTTATTCTCTTATTTATCACAAAACAATTGATTGTATAGCCACTGTAAAGTCAAACTAGTTGACTTTAGCTTTCCTTCTGAAAAGAAGTGGAAACAAGGTAGTTCTTATATAGAAAAAATTAATGAAACAAATATGTGATGAAGGCTGTACAGTGGTATGATAGCATACCTGTGACGCTACTATCCACATTTGCTGGTTCTCAACCGTCTCATAAGGTCCAAAGGTTTTTCAAATCAAACAAAACCAAGAAAAACAATTTGGCCAGATATTGCGAAGGTATACAATAAACACATGAGGAGAGTTGATCTCCTCAATTCCTTGCTTGGTCTATAAAGGATTCGTACCAGATCTAAAAAATGGTATCACAGATAATTTTTTCATATGGTATATGTGGTAACATGCAATTATTGGGGTCTATATAGAAGAATATCAGAATACCATCATGAAACTGAATTGGCTATGATAGGAACATGGAAAACCAATGAAGAAACGAAAAAAAGGGGAGGCCAAGCAATACACCACAGGATAATGAGCTTGGAAGAGGAGATGTAAAGAAGATTCACCTGCATTTGAAACCAGGAAATATTGAACTGGTTAATTGCCATAGCATTCTGAATGGCACAACCAATGAAGATTGGAGAGTTGTACTGGGAGAAGTCGAACATATTGTGAAAAGTACAAGGTTTTTTTATGCCTCTATGAAGAAAAAATTGTTCAGTTTGTAATCATTGTTGGGAAAGAAAGTTTTTGGCTTTCTACTACTCCATCTTGATACAAAAAAAATGTGGGAATCTTCCAAAGAAAGGAAGGAAACTTTTATATGAACACTGAATTACACAGAAGACACTTTACTCAGTTTGTATTCCAAACATTCGTTGTGGAATAAAATCAGATATCATTCACAGGAGTTCTACTTTAAATGAATGGTAACAAATTGCACTTACATGGAACATTGTCATCCTCACTGGTGGACATCGATGTTTGGCCGTAAGACACTTGCCTTAGGGCTCTTTAGTACCAAATTGGTACTGAAGAGCCCTAAGGCAATCTGGTACTGAAAATTGGTACTGAAGAGCCCTAAGGCAATCTGGTACTGAAGAGCCCTAAGGCAATCTGGTACTGAAAATTGGTACTGAAGAGCCCTAAGGCAATCTGGTACTGAAGAGCCCTAAGGCAAGTGTCTTATAGCGAAACATCAATGTCTACCAGTGAGGATGACAGTGTTCCATGTAAGTGCAATTTGTTACCATTCATTTAATGTAGAACTCCCGTGAATGATATCTAATTTTATTCCATAACGAATGTTTGGAATACAAACTGAGTAGAGAAAAGGGTCTTCTGTGTAATTCAATGTTCATGTTAAAGTAGTTGTTTCGAAATGATTTTTTCTTTCGTCTAATTCAATGTTTATATGAAAGTAGCTGTTTCAGGAGGGCTCTTTCTTCCAGTTTGTTTCTAAAAGTTACTTCTTTGCATGATCTACACATCCATGTATAGAGTTACTTATTTTAAAATTGATTACTTCCTTCCTTTCTTTGAAAGATTTCCACATTTTTTTTGTATCAAGATGGAGTAGTAGAAAGCCAAAAACTTTCCCAAAAATTAGTCACTCCTAAAAATGTCACCCCATCAATTCAAATAATCATTGTTGATTTGGGAGAAATGGATATTTAGTATGTTTTACTTTTGTATCACTTTTTGTGTCTGATGCCCACCATGTTCTCAGATGGGTCTATCACAAAACATGTTAAAACGTTAGGAAAAAATTAAACATTTTTTTTATGTATTATTTGAGCCAAAATACGTAATACGGATAGTGTGTAGGACTATTATTACAACGTACTTAAATTTTTATGTTAGCAACCAGATAAAAATTTATTTAGATACTCACCTATGGCTCCTCCTACAGTTCCAAATAAAACACAGCCTCTGGTTGGGGTCGACGTTTCTCCAATATTCTGCATCACCAGAGAACCATGCCTGAACACGTTTATCATATCTCCAATATGAAATTGGCCAACTTCATGCATCTGCGATCGTTCCTCGTCGGTGGTGGCAGCGCTGTCTTTTTGACAGACGAACATATTAAAGCTATTTTCAGCCCCTAAGAATATGTCATCATCTAGTATTTCAACGGCTGTCATCCAGTTGGGGTTATAATCCCGAGCGGTCTCTTCAAAACTACCCTCCATCGTTTTATACTGCAACAGGGTCATACTTCGCATAAGGTCTCCTATAAGGATAAAGTCTCCTTTTGTCTTTAGGAACAAAGATATGATGTTGTTGAAGTGTGAACACTCCAACCTTAGTTCTTGTTCTGCCGTCCACTCGAACAAACGGACTGTGCTGTTGATGCATGCCAAAAGCTTCCCGTTAAATTCAGCGAGGGAATAGCAAGCTCCTTTGATTTCTTTTTCAGATACCTGCGTCAGTTTATTGTCGTTCCAGTGGAATACCAGGATTGACCTAAACCAGACGAGAATAACCAAGTTTACCTTATACAACATACCTACTATGAAATAAGGGTTGGGATCATTCCCTAGCTGACAGGACAATAAAGACATGGAATATTCTTGCTGCATAAGCTGATGGGCATGTAACACTTCAAAAGTATTTTGATCGATGATGAGCAAGTTGTGTATTTCCACTTCTTGCCCATAGTCAGGAACGAGATTTCCACCTAATAAACTACTGCTTCCTGATTTACTTATAGCTAAAGAACCGACACTGCTAGATATTGTCACAGATTGTGCCATTGTAGAAGCGCTCTGCCTTGCTGGGTTCAATCCTGTAGAATCCTGAATGTCAATGCGTGCAGTCACCACCCCAAACGTCTGTAACATGTCAAACAATAAATTATATGATTTCTGAAAATCATTTTTGCAGATGAAATAGTTTTTTAGTAACTAATAAAAAGGTGGGAAATGTACCATCTATTGAAGGTATTATACGAAAATCCCTAGGGAATCAACAAAAATATCCAGAACTCACCTGAGTTTGTTCCTGATAAGCAATTCTTCTCGCAGATTCCTGAAGAGGAACCGTTCTAATGTGTAGTTTTTGAATTTCATCTATTGTGCCTATAGTAACTGATGTGTCTGTTGCTAAAGCCAAACTGAAGAACAAAACAAATGTTAGTAATATGGTACTATTGAAAACCCTTTCCCAACGCCAGAACGAAAATTACGGTCTCTTGACAAGTGTTTCGCTAACCAAGTTAGCATCCTCAGGAGATCATTATGACTCAGTAATTTTTGTTCTGGTGTTGGGAAAGGGTTTCAATAGATTCATTTTACGTCAGAGGTTCCAGAACGAACTATCAAGTAATATTTACCAATTTTTTTTTATTTGAACTTACATGGATTAATAAGTATGCAAATAATAATTAGATTCAGCTCAAATTTTTGTTAAATTAAGTAAATAATTGAAAGATTGATAAAGTCGATTGATGGATCACTTATCAATAAATATGCTTTAGAAGGAACAATTTCACCTTTGAAGTAAGTGTTTTGTGACCTGTCCCAATGTCTTTGACTGCGTAAACCATAAAGTCCTGTTCTAGAAAATATGGCTTTGATATCTCAGCTACTAAATGATTCAAATCATATCTATCGAAAACACTTTGTGGACTACAGCATCCTCCAAATTAAATGATATAAAGTCAAATGTTACCTAAGGTTCGGTTTTAGGTCCCATCCCATTTTTACTGTATATAAACAGCATCACCTGGCTAGATGTCTCTAGAACGATACAAGTCTGATTCGGCATGATAAAGGTCACAAGACTCGAAATGAAAATCAACACTGATCTAATGGAAGTCAAAAACTAGTGTGATACAAATCTTTTACTGAACATTAAAAAATACTAATAGCCTTCCTTTAAATATGAACTGTGCAATATATTATTTGGGGAAGATCTTGTGGTAAAAAATAAAATTATCGTATAGGAATCACACGTTAAAAGGTAAGACCTCGTTAATCCTTAGCTCGCACAAGTTTCGACTTCTGAGGGTTGTCGTTCGTAGGGGTGCGACAGCTGGTTAACGGAAAAACAGATTTTAAACAGAAACAGATTAATATTCTGGAAGAGTTGCACTTGCCATATGGAATACATTTTTAGGGTTAAGTACTGACAAACGTTTATTACATCTTTCTACTACAGAAAAGAGGACTCAGTTACTTATGCAAAGTGAATAGAAGGAATTTGTGAAAGCTACGCTCTATTAAACAGGAAATACTAACATTACCTTCATTTCCATTGGAAACAGCAAGTCTCATACATAATAACAAAAAGTGAATATTATTAATAAAATTGCAATAGATTTCAGCTTTTATTTATGAATTCCATAACAGAACTATATCATGTTCTGTTATTAATAACTTTGCTAAAATATTTGAAAAGATTTTAAAAAATAGACTAGTTGATTATTGTAACATAAATGGGANTACAAACTGTTTTTTCTTGAAATCAAAATTTTCATCATTTTATGTCGATTAATAGTCTTACAAGCCCAAACCTTATTTCATGGGATAAGTTGAGTCTCTTATTGCTGTACATTCCTTCATAATAAATTTATACTAGTTCAATAATATTTGTGTTTTCGAAATCCACAGTATCTTATCTCAGTTTTATGGCTTTGTAAAAAAACGTTAATTTCAAGACCACTCAATATTCTATAAAATGAATCAATACAATACGATTATATTCATATCTAAATTATAAAGAACCTACAAACATGTATATAAACCAAAAGGATTGCTTGATTTGAGTAACTACATTTCTGTTGGAAACTGTTTTTATGTAACCAGCTATTACCCCTATGAACAAAAACCATCAGAATTCGAGCAAGGATTAACGAGGTTTCACCTTTTAACGTGCGATTCCTAACACATTGTTTGATGTATTTGCAGTTTGAATTGATACACCTTATATCAGTCTGTAGCCACGACACAAGCCTAGCTTAGGTGGCTACAGATTGTGTAATATATGGTTATTTGATAAGACATTTGAATTGTATTTTGAAACAAATCATGTAACTGAATAATCGGCAAATCTTTCATATTTCACAGTTATTTATTTACACAAGTAATTTACTGTTGTTTATTCTTGTATGTCCTACATATTTGTAAAAAAATAAAATAAATTGCTCTTGCAAAAATAAATTGCTCTTGATTCTAATAGAATCTTAAGAAAATCTATATCTGAGGATAAACCAATAGAAATTGTTGCGTCTTTAGTGAATAACCCACGACAACAGTTCGTGAGAATGTTAAATTTATTCAGAAAATATGAAATACGAACCCCACCAAACCATCAACTCTACTGGATCTTTATCTTTTTCAAGTGATATAATCAATAAACAATATGAGAAAAATATAAAAAATACTAACATATATCACAATGGATAATTTGAGGATGCGAAAATNAATTGACAAATAGACAATGAGAGAAATGAGTGATAAGTGACGAAAATCGTTATGTTTGTTGGTTTGGCAGCGGGGCAGAGGGGTATCTAGACTTGTGTTTTGAATAAATTATTTTTATATTCTGATCTGAAGCAAGTAATACTGAGGTTCTTCAAACTTTCAGGAACGGAATTATATAAATTATAAATTTGGTAGGTGAAAGATCGTCTGAACATTTCAGTTTTGAATTTAGGTGGGGATAATAATCCTTTAAATCGTAGATTTAAATTATGTATGTCTGTCCTGAAAGATATTTTGTTGTACAAATATGAAGGAGTTTTAGATAGAATAATTTTGTAATATAAAGTGACCGCATGATGAACTCTTCTATTTTCCATATTCAACCATCCAATCTCAATTAATTTATGTGATATTCTCTGATTTTTCCTCACGCCGTATATTAGCCTCAAACAGGAATTCTGCACTTTTTGAATTTTATTTTTGTAAATAGTTGTTAAGTTCGGACCATAGACAGAGTCAGCGAAATTAAAATGTGATAAAACTAATGTTTCGCACAGTTTCATTTTGATTTTTCGACGAATTAAATGCCTGTTTCCATAAATCAGTTTTAGTGAACCATATGCTCGTCGAATCAATTGATTAACATGTTTTTCGAATCTTAGGTCTGCCTCTATGATAATGCCTAGGTTTACTCTTTCAGAATACAAAGTATTTATTTTCAAGCTTCAATGAGCTGTATATTTCAAAATTCAAATTGATTTATGATATAAATTGATGAGTTACCCTCTGAAGAATTTATCAATTCAAGTATTTCACTTGTTTCGATAACTCCATATTAATATTTGTCAATTTCTCGTAGCCTTAAGAAAGTACAAAAGTATCTTTAGCGAGTAGAATTGCTCTGTTAAATTTTTTACATAATATTTGATCATTGATCGGAAAACTCACCTATCAGGATAAGCTTCGGCATTCAGGGAACACATATGATTGACTTCTTTCATATTAACATTAGAGAAAACTAACTTATGATTAGAAGAATAGATAACAGTCGGCCTGTCAGAGCAGGCGAAAACATTTGTTGTGCTGAGAGATCTGAATGTTTTTAATACTGTTGGTTGGGTACCCAACGTGACTTTTTTCTTATCTGTTAACATCCCAGAATCCTTCTGTAGTAAGAAATAGAACATCGATCCATCCCCAAGTGCGCACAAAAGATAATTCTGTCCTTCGAAGTTGGCCATCAGGACTGAACGAGGAATTATTTCTGAAAAATATATAATGAAAAAACTCTCAAAATGTAAATATAAACTTGGCCGACTTATACGCTTCTAGTAAATCAACTTTGGATAATGAAGATTTCAACTTTTTTTTTTCAAGGTTGGTATTTGAATAAATTAGCTACGTTCATTCCCGACTTACCACCGCCCAAGAGTTCCTTATGAGCTTCTGAAAGATCTGGTAATCTCAATATACGTGTTGAAATATCAGTCCATAAACCTACTGCAACTAATTCTGAACGTTTGGTTTCATCTCCTAGTGAGCTTATATCGAGACATGCAACTTCAACATCCAAAGTAGTATTCCTGAAAAACAATGTTATATAAACATAAATAAGATGAATCCCAAATTTATGTTTTAGCAACCTTACACGGCTTTGCATGGGTAATGTTTGTGAGGCTGCTGGAATTTATTTTATACTTTGGTCGAAGATTATGCCATTAAATGTTAATTTCATGGAGATATATGAAAGCATACATATTGAAATGTTAGTGGAGAAATGAACGACCAGGAAAAATAACCAATACAAAATAAACCTTCCTTCAGGCTTGCAAATGTATACCTGATTGCAGAAATGAAAGACGCTGCTGGAAAGAGGAATCTACTAACAATTAAAGAAAAGGTGAACTTAGTGACCAGAAAAATACAACAGTAGAAAGTGAACTTCAATGAAGACCGTCAAACATATCTGACAATAAATGATAATAGAAGCCATAAGAAAGGCATCATCACCAGAGCAAAACTAACATCAAGATGAAGGGGATTTAAAAAAATACTGTTCAGAAGTAAAAATACTGTCAGCAAAAAACCCAACCCCAGCTCACTTTTTTTAAGCAATAACCCATATTTCTCAATTCTGATTGACTTCCGATTAAACACTGCCAGAACCAAAATGGAGACTTGACATGAAACTTCAAGTTTTTCATGAACTTTTGGAAGTTGTATGATGTGGGAAAACCTCAAATGGAAATATTTGAAGTTTATGGTAACTCATTTCAGGTACTTGGCGAAGTTTTTTGACAAGTACCTGTGGTTCATAAGGAGAGCAAGAATTGCTTCAATTTATGGAATCTCTCGTGAATAATCGAAAATACTTTAATTTCACGAACCGATCAAAAAATTGCTACAAAAAATACAGATCCGTATTTAAAATTTTAAAACTATAGTCGATTTTTCTTTATCATTCAATTAATTAAAATTAAAAGATTCCAAACCAAGTTACGTCACGACATTTCGATTGTTAGTATCCACAATCGTCTTCGGGTCATAACTGGACTTATTCCTCCGAGATCTGACTATTTATAGGTCATTCGGGTGCTTTCACCTTTCACCTATCCCTTCTTTCCTCTTTACGCTTCATTGATTTTAGCGGGAGACGACCGTTTGACGGGAGTTGGTCGTTTTTCGCTTGATAAGAGGTTTCCATATGTTACGTATCTCTACGCTAGCTTGACTAAATGCGTTGTTAGACAACATATACGCGGCTTCCTTGAATTTTCTCCTAAACCAGTTTCCTCTTTGTGGATAATTTCAGCTTGAGCCCACTTGATATTATATTGATGAGTCCAAACATGCTCTGCTATTCCGGATTTGCTGGTTTCTCCTCGGTGTGTGTGTTTCTTGTGCTCAGTAATGCGAACTTTCAATGGCCTCTTAGTTTCACCAATGTATGATTCTCCGCACTCGCAGGGTATCCGGTAAATGCAATTCTTAGAATCGCAGTCCGCGTTTGGTGGCCAGATTTTTGTGAGGCTGCTACGGATAGTGTTTCCAGATCTGAAACAGGTCTTGATGTTATACTTGGACCCAATCCTTCTTATCCTTTCCGATAATCCTCTGATGTAGGGGAGTACAAGAACTGGTTGTGGATGCTTCTCTTTCTTGTGGAGCTCTTTCTGTCTTCTAGCTAAAGCATGTTCTACCATCACTCTGGAGTAACCATTCCTTTGAAGGTTACTTTTGATGATGTCTAGTTCCTTCTCGAGACCTTCCTTTGTATTACAGAGCTCGAAAGCACGGTCTAGTAGAGTCTTGATGATTCCTCTCTTGATCGATTGATGGTGGTTGGATTTCAGATTCAGATACTGTCCTGTGTGAGTGAGTTTTCGATATACAGATGTTTCCCATTAAGTGTCGGTCCTCCTTACCAATACGTCTAAGAAAGACATTTCGTTGTGGACTTCTTTCTCCATTTTGAAAGTGATGGAAGGACTTACGTAGTTGATGTGCTTCAGGAAAATGTCTAGTTCTGCATTCCCATGGTTCCATATTATGAACGTAAGTCCTTCCATCACTTTCACAATGGAGAAGGAAGTCCACAACGAATTGCCTTTCTTAGACGTATTGTTATTTTCGGTTAATCTTTTATTTTTTTCAGGGATTTCAAATCAATTTATATTATATTAGACAATGGAAGTCCGAACTGATGAAATACATCTGAAGTGTAATAATTCTAATTGGGGACATATAGTGACAACTGAGGATCCTCTACGTGACTTACACAAAAAATTGCTTAGCATTTTTAATGAAGCTTTTCCACTTTAAAACATTAAACTTATAAAAAAGAAGACTTGGATGACAAAGGGCATAAAAGTTTCAGCTAAAAATTTGAGGTGTCTCCACTATATTCGTAAATATTTCAGAGATCATGTTCTCTTCATTACCTACTATAACAATTATTGAAATATTTATAGAAAAATCATAAAAAATGCGAAAACAACTTATTACAGCAATAGAATATCAAATGCAAATAATAAACATCAGGAAACATGGAAAATCGTTAACGAATTAAGAGGAAAAAGCAAAAAATCTTTTCTTGATAGTGAACTGAGTTCAAACAAATTAAACAGTTACCACTGTTCCATTGCTCAAAAAATAGCAAAAAAATATCAACCAATGAGAACCCAATGAATTACCTTAGGCATGTAGCCATATCGAATTCATTCAACTATTCTCCAACCTCTGGAAATGAAATAAAAGAAATCCTCTCTAGCATAAAAAATAAAGACTCTTCAGGATGGGATGATCTCTCAATTAAAATTTTCCTTAAACTGCCAAACACTGTATTAGATATCTTAGCAGAAGCTATAAATGAATCTCTCATAAATGGTATTTTTCCAGATTGCCTAAAAACATCTGAAGTTATCCCATTTTTCAAAGGAGGTGATTCTAATATACCTGCGAACTTCAGGCCTATTTCTTTACTGCCAACTCTATCTAAAATCGTGGAAAACTTAATGAAAAAAAGAATCCTGAATTTTCTTGACAAAAATCATATTCTTCACTCCAATCAATATGGCTTTCAAGCCTCTAAGAGCATAAATGATGCAATGTTTGCTTTTTCAGAAGAACTTTACCTTTGGCTGAATGTTGGTGAGGCTGCAGTGGCAGTATTTTGTGATCTAACAAAAGTATTCCGACTGTGTTGATCACAAAATATTGCTTCAAAAACTTAAAATCTACGGATTTAGAGGAAACATCTTGTTGTGGTTTGAGTCACATCTATCAGATCACGTTCAAGTAGTGAATTTCAAAAGTTCATCATCAGATAAAATGAGAATTAAATGCGGAGTACCTCAGGGATCTGTCCTCGGACCTTTGCTGTTTTTATTATATATAAATGATCTGGCATATATATCGATTGAAGGAAAATTCACAAGTTTTGCTGACGACACGTCTATACTTTGGCATGGAAGAAGCACTGATGCACTAAAACTTAGGGTAGAGCATGATATAGGCAACGTTAAACAATGGTGTGATGCCAATTTATTATCTTTCAATATATCAAAGACTTCCTTCTTATCGATGAACAATGTGCTATGTAGCCTTCAGTTCGGTTTTCAAAGTTCGAAAAACACCACAGATGCTTTTCTAGAAAATACATACTCTAGCATTAATGATAGCAAGGCTGTTTGCAGCAGTGTTTTGTGATTTTTCAAAAGCATTCGATTGCGTTGATCATAAGACACTGCTGGGGAAGCTCAGCCATTATGGGATAAGAGGAACAAATTTGAACTGGTTTGGTTCATATTTGACAGGACGTCGACAGGTGGTGAAAACATCAAGTGGACAGTCTGATCTCAGTGACATAAAACATGGAGTACCTCAGGGGTCTGTTTTAGGACCAGTGTTATTTTTAATATACTTAAATAACCTAATAACCATTAACATCGCAGGACAATTTACTGTATTTGCCGACGATACCACTATTATATGGAGCAATGAAGAAATTAATCAGCTATCAAATACGATAAAAATAGATATTCAACAAATTCAAGTCTGGTGTAACGCAAAATCCTTGTGCTTCAAGCTAAACAAAACTAGTTACTTTCAAATGTATACTAGACGATTTAGATAACCACTACATGGAAAACGATCAGCACACTAAATTCCTAGGCATTCACATAGACTATAGACAATAAATTTTTTTGAAGAACATGTATTCCATCTAAGTAAAAAATATCTAGTGGATGTTATGCTATTAGAGTGATATCAAATGAACTAGGGTACACTACAGCTAGAATGGCTTACTTTGCACTGATCGAATCTCATATTCGCTATGGAATAGCTTTCTGGGGCCATTATAGTTTACAGTTACAGAATTATATTTTTTTTTACAAGACTTTGTCAATAAGATACTAATCTTCCGATAATAAAGCATATTGATTGATTGATTGATATCACTCTGCTAAAAAAGCATACTTTGCACTTTTGAAGTCCCACTTGCGCTACGGAATTTGTTTCTGGGGGAGCAGCTGTCAAAACTTATTGAGTCAAGTTTTCACAATACAAAAAAGAGCAGTGAGATTCATTATCAGAGCTGGAGTGCAAGATTCCTGTAAGCCTCTTTTTTTAGCACATCACATTTTAACATTCTACTGCCTCTTTATTTTAGAAACAGTCTGCCTAATGCACAAAAAGCACAAAGATAACATCTTGAACTCCACTCAGAATTATGCCACTCGTCTCACATTCAATATTCCTCTTCCTATCCCGTCAACATCACAAATTAAAAATTTGATTCTTTATAATAGCAAAAAATATTTCAATCATCTCCCCCTTTCAGTCAGAATGTTAACATGCTACACAGTTTCGAAAAAAAGTAAAAAAACTTCTGCTAGATAAAGGTCATTATACTACTAAGGAATTTCTTTCGGATGACTTGGCAACTTATAATTCCAACTTATAAAATTTTTTATCACAGACTTTTATCCATAGACTTTTTGAAGTGTGCTTGAGCCATATTAATATCTTGTTTTAAATTCTTGACCTTTATGTTAATGTTTTAGATTGTTTTAGTTCTTAAGCCTGCTTTGTCAACAAATCCTAAACTTTTATGACAATAAAGCATTTCTGACTCTGAAGTTATGAAAAAAAAAAGTTTATTTGCAAGAAGTTGAACAAATGAGATATTATTGGACCTAATTGAGAAATGAAGCTGTTATCAAAATTATTCGAATTTGTCAATTAAATTTGGAAATATCTTCTATATGTCATTCAACTTTCATATTGTTACGTACCCTCTCAAAATTAATTCGTTAGGATGAATTTCCAGATAATACAACGCCGAACCTGTCGACAGAACAATTTGAGATGTATTAGAGGCCACGACACTTATATTTTTTTCATTGGACGGTTTCCATTCTGCCAGCAAAGTTTTATTTTGAGTTGATACCAATCTGACAGAGAGGGGCGTGATCTGTACAATTTGTTCATGTATCACATTTCCACAGAAGAATGTTTGTTGGTCGGCAGCAAATCCTGCTATGTCTGTTTCTTCCACTTCTTCCCCATTCAAGCTCAAAACACGAGTCTGTCCGACGAAGGAAAGAACTAGGGTGTTGTCGAACTTACTACCTGTAATGAAATATAAAATATTTGATGCCCGTAGTTAATTGTTTTTTTGCAACTAAACCAAATCCTCATGAGCAAACTCCTGTGGCTTGTCTATTTCATGAGTTGATAATAACTGAATGAGACAAAAATGCTGTTGCAAAAAAGTGTGTCCACAAAATGCCTTGTTTGTGCTGATGAATATTTACGAATGACCTTGAAACTTCCACATTTTTGATAAAATGAACATCACTCTCACCGATGTCAAGGCTTATGGGAGAAGCCAACGCCCTAATTTTTTTTTAAAACAGTGTAGCAAACGAATTAGCTAGGATGTTAATGTTGATTTTAGTTTATATCACTTAAATTTTGTATGTTTACATTGATATATGTCTACATTTATACATACATTAAGGTTAAGTTAGTTTTAAGGTAATACTGTATTTGTTAATTTTTTTTCCTCATGGGGATAACCCAATACATAAATAAATGAATAAATCACTCAATTATGAAATTTGTCACTTCAATAGTTCCAAACTATTGAAATGCAACTTTACACACATAAAAATCACTGCCAACATTGTCTTCTCAGGAGACTACACTAAACAATGCACCCATAAAGTAACGTATAATTTAATTGTGTGCTAAATAATTATTATCATTCAAAAGTTCCAAAACAGGTTCATTTCATATTTTTATTTTGTTTTTCCAGAGTTACCCTTATTACAAGTTGTTTACAAAATAGGGAATAAATATAATACAAAAATGAAATGTATCAAAGAAATTAGTTTTTTTTTCAGAAATGTTTTGAATGGTATGAATAGAGCTATTTTACTTCACTCGAAGAGTTCTATGAAAGTTATTTGAACAATATTTATTTATTTATTCATTAACAGGTAACACCCAATTAAGAGATTTCACAATAAATTATATGAATACAACAAATAATTACATCTAACTTACTTGCTAAAAGTAAAACTAATTTATTAATAAAGAATAACAATGAGAAAATAAATTTACTGAATTGAAATATTAATTAAATAAATTAATGATTAAGATATGGAAAATTCAATAATTGAGGATGTTTATGTTTATATTATTTATTACCATTTATAATTTATTTCTGAGCGAGCAAAATGCAAACTTAAATTTTGTTACGTTCAATGAAAAGAAGTTCAAATCGACTTTATTACCACCAATAGCAACTCTAGACAGGGGAGAATATTTACCGTAGTTACAACGATGAAAATCTATTGCAAATGTTTCTGTATTCCTTGTACTTCTAGAAGGAACATGTATAACATTTGAATATATAACAATATATAATAGTTACGAATTTATTTCACCAAATGTTGATTTTGATGAATGGATTTAGAATATTTTTTCAATGGGATACAAGTTTCAATTTGAAACTTGAAATATCCAAAAGACATAGAACTCATTTTTGTTCCTATTGAGGAGGTGAACAAAATACATACTTCATTAATTTATTGCTATAGTTCGGGAAATGTTGGTTAAAAACTGTAAATCATATTTTTTGTTCAAACAGGTGAAATCATCCAAAAATTCCATAGAATCAATTTTTTAATCTCATTAATAACTATGAAGGAGATCATCAAGCATGTTTTTATAAAAAGATAATTCAGGAATTATTAACGAAATATTAGAAAATCGAGCAATGTATCTTCTCAACTTGGAGGCTTGTTCATAGTATTCATTGTTAGAATCCAATTTTAGTTCTCTTCAACTTCTACGTAGTGCTTGTTATAACTATTTAAAATAAAGTAATACAAAACAAACAATGTACTGCTAGCATTGTATCTAACAACTTTCATTAGAGATCTTTACACATCGGTTATACCGTATATTGTTTGAAGATTTTTTTATGTTGAAACTGTAAAAAAAAATCAAAATTTATTTCTGTATAGTTAACGCTTCAAAGTAGGTACATTTATGTGAAATCCAACTGAAAGTTATCCTATCAAAACTGTTTTTTAAAATGCCTTCATATGAAAGGAAGAAGATTGAAATTCTAATCACAATTGGTGTTAGCGATATGATGCAGACTCAAACAAAAGGTATTCCATGAAATTCATCCAAATAAAAAATTCATGTCACAATCTACTGTATAGTTCTTCAAAATATTCAACAAAATGTAACTTTGGCAACAATTCAAAATCCTCAGAGCAGAGACTATCTATGTATATGAATATTGAAAAGTCTTTGGTATCAAATAAATATTTACAAAAAGATAAAATATTATGTGTGTAAAGTATGTTTCATCCGGGAAAAAGGTGACGATGACTTTTACTGAATTATGTGAGTAAATGATGGATTGAAATAGTAGAATTGATTTCAAAACTAACTTTTATTTTCAGACAGGATGTTTTATTTCTCGGTATTTCCCAGTCCTTTCCAGCAAAATAATTGTCTTCTATAAACCCAAGAAGATTATTTCAATTTGTAGTGATATCACAAAACCAACTCTGAATATGCAAACTGAATAGCTTGCACTGCAAAAAATAAGCGGCTTATTGAAATTATATAAAACTTTTCTTAGTCTCATTTTTTTTCAGTAGCTAGACACACTATAAAGGTAAAAGTCCAAATAAAGTAAACAAAACGTGTTAAGTTATTTTACCAGTAGTTGTTTGTAGAGCCCACATTCCCTTGATTCCTGATAAATCAATAGAGGCATGTTCCTGAATTCCAATGCCATTTCTGATTATTCTGAGGGATCCTTCTTTGAAAGCCCCTGAGCAAGTTACTAGTTGACCCTGTCCTTGTCTTTCAAGGTCAACAACACACATATCCAATATAGGGGCAAGATTAGTAAATGATTCCATGACTGTCACATATGAACCATTTTCATCAGCTTTTGTATTCAACTTAACAAGTTGTGAATCACCAATTCTCGATCCGATGAATAGTACTCCATTGTCTAAATATGTGATACATTCAGGGGTAGCTATTTCACCCAACATCTCCACCTTCAAATCTTTCACTACTTCGCTACCATCTCCTCTAGATTCTGTTTCAATGAATAGCATAAATAAATGACCAGCCATATCTCCTAATAAATATCTGAGACCACCAGGATCTACTTTGGCATAACAAATAATGGTACTTTGCTAAAATTTCAGTATACTATTAATATTGGCTGAATGTAATAAGAAAGCTCATCACCTTTATTACAGCTGGGGCCACAACCACAGAAGTAATACCATCATGATACAAGATGCTCTCCTGTCCAATAATGATAGCACCTCCCAAGGGAGAGGGTACTGGTATGATAATAGAAGCCTCGGTTTCTACATTGTCTTGTCTCCAGGGTATTTTGACAAATTCTTTTTCTCGAAGAGAAATTTCATGGGTCTTTACATGTCGGCCGTTTACATCTTGATGAATTAAAATCAAAGTAGGGTTGGCGCAGCCATGCAAAAATTCAACATCATGCACCTGAAGTTCTTCCATTCTGAAAATAATTGTAACAAAAAGCATATAATCACAAATAAATTCTGCCTTATATATTGAAATGAAAACTATTTAAATTACTTCAATTTTGTAAAAACATCAAGTAGACCAAAAATCGCAGTAAGAAAACATCAGTCAATGATCAGAAAGTATGGTATTTATAAATATTAGTTGATTAAAATAATGAAGTCAACAAAATATATTTTTATTCATTTATTTTTAAGCAGAAATTTAGTATTTTGTCTCCGAATATATTAGAAGTCGACTAAAGTAGGGACACAATTTTTAGATTGAGTCACCAAAGCGGTTAAAAACTTTGCACCCCAAATATAAATGACTTTTTTTGTCATATGTTAATTGTATGCAAATTGGGCATAAGATTTCAGGATCTTGTGGCATAATGATGATCTTGTCGGATCATATATATACAGCGGTCAGCAATTTGGTGTTCTGCAGTCTGGGTTGCACGGCATCTGTAGTTTTCTTCTGTTCGACGTTCGGCTTCTACATTGAAGCCATTTTCAAGAACTAATAAACACTGAAGTTACATGACTTGAGAACGATGTGGGAATCTACCTGAACCCCAAGTCTCATCACTGGCTTTGTTCAGTTCCAAGAAAACACTGAACACCTGAACCCCAAGTCTAATCACTGACTTTGTTCAATTCCAAGAGAACGCTCAACATCAGTGTTCAGTGTCCACCAGTGTTCAGTGTCAGTTTGGATGGCAAATTAGCAATTAAATCAAATACATTAAAAATATATTAAATAAATCTGTGTAAACAACAAATCAGACATTTTTCTACTGTAATAAAAGAAATACTGGAGCTGAAAGGAAAATGACATTCATAATTAGAATAACTATCTTACAGTTAACTTTTTGACAAATTCATTGTGTATATTGTCAATTCTTGTATAAGTAATAAATACATTACCTAAAGTTAGTTGCTTTCAGTTCATAGTTATCTTTATCAAGAGGTATAATTTTAAATAGTCCATCATAGAGTCGAAGGCCAATAACTCTTGCTTTGGGATCGATTATTGCTAATATTCCAGTTTCAGAAGGTTTTCCAATTCTGTCTGCCACATTCCCGTGAGCTTTGGTTATAATATCAATACTATCACCTTCACTCATGCACTCCAAAATCATAGCATTATATCTCATTGTGACAATAAACAGTAGATCTTTCTTTTCATTCTGAAAATATAATAGGTAGTTGAAACTTCAAAACTGAACAATATTTTTCAAATTATTTCAATAAAATGATCAAGTATATTAAAAATTGATTTAACAGAACAAAGCTGCATACTTGTGGTCGAAAGAGTTTCATAACAGCCACTTTTCCATACAATCCAACTTCCTTGATGGGTCTCAATCCTTCAGGTGTCACCAAATATATCTCCAGCCTGGTATTTTTTGCTACGATGAGATTCAAATCGGATGGTGAGGTGAAATTTCCTACGAAAATATTAGGATTACTTTATGGATGACTGTGTTAACCTTTTTAACAACCTGTCACACAAGCAGTAACAGCAGTCGGCTTGTGTGCCGTAACAATGTAATGATAGGCCATTTTAATAATAGAATATAAATCGAAGAAAGTAAAGACCGATTTCAAATTTTAAAATAATAACATGCTTCAAAATCGACAAACACCGACATCTTTTTTAATTTTTCATTGTTCTGTACTTCTTCATCTTCTCTTTTTGGTTCTATGACAGTGGGCACAATGAGTAAATTTTTACTGAAACTAATGAAGAAGATCGATCAATGACATTATACTCGGAGACATTGACATTTTGTGTCATTGTGTCATGGCCTCCGAATGGTTCGTAAAAGTCAAAGTGGAAAATCGCCTAGTAAAAAATCACGAAAAAGTGACCCTGATGCTTCTCACAATAATGTGATGTTCACTTCATATGCGAATACGTCTGTCCACAAGAGAAATTTGTGTATTGTTTCCTTTCCCATAATATTTTTATTTGATATTTTACGTTCACTGTTGTATCAAATTTTTCTTATTTTACGTTTTGTTTACTGCAGTTCTTCTAAATATTTTGTAAGACGTCAGATAACTGACTGCGAGAATGGTGAGAGAAGTGATAGTGTAATAGTAGAAGAGATTTCAGAAATGGCTCAAGCAAGGACAGCAGGTCCCGGACCTGGAGACCCTTTGTTAGCAAAACAAAAACACCACCACAGGCGGGCATTCGAATATATCTCGAAAGCTTTAAAAATAGATGAAGAAAATGAAGGTACGCTGATATAGATTCAGTTCATATAAGTTGTTACTATTGAACTTACAGGTCAGAAGGAATTAGCCATTGACCTTTATCGAAAAGGCATTACTGAGCTAGAACTGGGTATTGCTGTTCAGTGTTGGGGAGGTCGTGGAGAAGTTTGGGAAAGGGCTCAACGATTGCATGAAAAAATGAAAACAAACCTAGCAATGGCAAAAGATAGACTTCAGTTTTTAGGTGAGCTGGAAAATAACGATAAAATGATCTTGTTGAATGATGAAGTGCATTTAGTAGGCGTTGGTTCTTCTACTTTAAGTCCTTAGTTTTATACCCACTTTTGTCTCAGCACAACAAAATTATTTTCAATCTCTATATGTGCTGTTATTTAAAGTACAATATTTCAGTATCAAATCACATAGCTCATTATTTGCCCTATTAACATGGCATTTAACAATTCATTTTCCAGATTTAGATAAATATTAGAAATGTCATTTCTAATATTTATATTTTACATGAGCATTTATTATCAATTTCAAAAATAATCAGGAAAATAAATTGATATATAAAGTTACATTCAAAAAAATTGTCAATAAAATACTAATTTTTCAATCAATGTGATTATGAAAAAGAAACTTCTATGAATAATCAGTATGTCTCACTTTATTTTTTATGAGGTATTTGTAATATGGTTTTTTAGCCTCATTTAGATAGCATTAAAGTATTATTTCTAATGCTACTGCAGTTTATATTTACTCAGCTACCAGGTTGCAATTTAGGTTACTTGTTTTGTGTTTTTTCATCATTTCTTTGATTTGATTGCAAATCAGTAACATTTTTAATTTCGTGTATATGATATCTGAGCATTGTGAAGATTCTAAAATAGAAATATCGGCACTTACTATTGAATTGATGCTAGCAGTCTGGTGATACTGAGAAAGCCCCTAAAAGTATTTTTGATATGGCAAAAGTTTATTTTATTAATGCTATCTAGATGATTGTGTTGATTTTTTTTATTTGTAGTACTTTAACCTTTCTGTTTATAGAAAGCATGGATAGGTTGCATAATTTGGAGGTAAATGAATCGAAGGAAACTCCTAAGATGTCTTGTACTAGCAATATACCCCAGCCCAAAGTTAATTTTTCAAAAACAGGTATTACATCACTTTTATAACTAACATAAATAGAATTGACGGGCCTTTCTGGAATCTTGCTGGAAATTATTAAGTTTATCATAGATGTGTTCTTGGCTAATTAGAATTAGTTTCAGGGTGTTTTTAAATTACTGTTAGTAATCACTAATTTTCAGGTATATTTGATTTATTCAACTATTCTTATCTCTGTAGAGAGTTAGAGGAACTTTTATGTAGTGTTCTGTTTTTATAATAGATGCTTCTTATAATTATTTTCATCTACGCCGACTCATTTCTTTACAAAAACTTTACTCACACACCAGTTTTTCTCTGATCAAGTCATTGTCATCAGTATTTCAGCTTGATTTCAAATTATTACAGCTTCTGGAAAGAAATTAACTGTGGCCAGCAAACGACCTGCCAATTCTCTTGCCAAAAGCCAAACCTTGCCTCGATCGATGGGCTCACGCAGTGCACCAGTTCAGTCTGGCAGATCTTTCAATAAAATATGTTCCACACCACCTGCTGTCAGAAAACAGTTGTCTGTACCTGGGAATGCTGGGTCTCCTGCCAGAAGGATGAATAATAGTAATTTAGGTAAGATAATCTTCTCAGCTGCAGCAGCAATGTTAGATTTCAATAGGAAATCCTAATTACAATATCTATTTCAAAGATATACCTTGAAATATCAACCAATGTGTCAAATACATCATATTTTTCGAGAGAATTCATCTAGTTGAGGTTAGCATGATTCTGCAATGTTACATGGGTGACGTTACGTGATGAAGGATTCGCTTGGAGATCCCTAGTGCATCTTTTCCATTTTTTATTCCTGTTTCTTTATACGTTAAGAATTTTTAAAATGCATTTCATACTCTACATTTAATTTTATTGTTACATTTACAGCTTTTTTATGTAACTGTGCAATGTAATAGGTGACTTGTCCAAAATATTTGTATTTTTTATGGGCGCAATAAAGTTCTATTCTATTCTATTGTTTTTGATAACGTGCTTGTTAGTTTCCAATCAATAGTGTGTTCTAGAAATTTTACGATCTAATGGGCAGTATACCTGGTAACAAAGACAAGTGTCTGAGTTTTATCTGAGTTTGGAATTCGTTTGTTTTTCGTGAACCAATCTAGCTTAATTTGCAGGTTATTAATATTTATCAAAAACAAAAGCGGTCCTAGTACGGTACCTTGGGGAACACCATTATGTATTGTCAAACATGAACTGTCTCTTGTAGTGAACTACGACTGTCAGTTGTAAAGCAGATTTAGAAACTCCATAGATTTTCAACTTTTTCATTGAAACAGTTGAATGCTTTGCAAAAGTCAACGAAAATAACCAGAGAGAGAGAGACAGAGTTGCGAGTTCAAACATGTCGGCTACAAATTCAAAAAATCCCACCGTTTCAGCATTCATTTTCTTTTTATGAAAACATACTGATATTCTGAAAAAAAAATCTTCCTCTCAAAATAATTACTAATTCTAAGGTAGATCAATTTCTCAGTTGTTCCATGATAATTGTTCAGATCCTTCCTCATTCCTAATTTGAAGATTGGAATTATTTTGGTCATTCTGAGTTTTTCACAGGTGCAATGTTGATACTAAATAAACATATAAATGCGTTCAATCGCTGCTAATCATAAAGTGCTATAGAGTGAAGCGCGGCCTTCGACGTGCCATTTATTGGCACGCGCCGCCGGTACCGCCGCAACCGCTATGTCTCTGCATTTTAAATTTGTGATATCTTCGAAAATATTCATTTGAATTACACGCATATACCATCGGGGACTTTTTTGTCGAACTTTTCAAAGTGTACAATACTGTAGCATATTATTTTAATCTATCTCGTAGGGTTCAGCCAGCTTTTAAAAGATCTAAGTATACATAGAGACAGGCAGCAGGAAGTGACTTTGTTATATACGATGTATTGATTAGTATTCATAAATATCCACTGCAGAAAAGTTATGCAGCGGATATTTCTGAAATACAACACTTCAGTAAATGACTTGTTCTTCGTAGGATTATTGAAATCAATCAAAGAATGCACAAATTCACATGACTCTATTTACCTGTGATATTATTTTGATGTTTCCGGCAGGTTTTAGGTTTGTTATTAGATTTCCTTTCCGAATATTGAATATTTCGAATGAATGCAGATGTATTGACAAGAGACTTGGTCATTTAGGCTGATATTGTAATGAAAGTTGAAAAAATTCATTATTAATTTCTTGACTGAATATTCTTTGGCGATATGTAAAATAATTTAAATTCTTTTAATTATGTATTTCTCAATGTGAAATTTTATTTTTATGTATAAAAAGTGCGATATTTTTATCTTTGAATTGCATTATGATTTATATTCTTTTTTGGCGTCAACGGCATACTCATTAGCCTCGTGTTCTTGGTAGGTAATGTTAATAACTCTCCCAACTTAACAATAATCCCAACTTCAACAAGATAAATTCTCTCTGGAAAAATATCTGATCATGGTGGAGATCGAACTCACCACCTTTCAAACGTAAGTCAGGCGCACTACCACTGCGCCAACTCACCGCTTATTCTTTATTTTTTGTTCTGAATCAACGGTTACTATTATTGATTATTGAATAAAAGGAAATTTTTAAAGCGAGTACCAGTAAGAGCGGCCTTAGGGGCCTTTTACCATCTCTGAGAGGCGTGGATCCCAAACTGGCTCAAGCAATCCTCGATGAAATAGTTGAAGGTGGTCCGTCAGTTCAATGGGAGGACATCGTCGGACAAGATACAGCAAAACAGGCCCTACAGGAGATGGTCATCTTACCGTCTTTACGTCCCGAACTTTTTACAGGGCTACGAACACCTGCAAGGGGTTTGCTACTATTTGGTCCTCCAGGCAATGGCAAAACCTTGTTAGCCAGAGCTGTTGCAACAGAATGCCGGGTGGGCATTATAGGTTATATTCTGATGATGACATTGTGAAATGAATTTTATTTTAGGCCACTTTTTTCTCAATAAGCGCTGCCAGTTTGACCTCCAAATATGTAGGGGATGGAGAAAAAATGGTGAGAGCGTTATTTGCTATAGCCAGAGAGCTACAACCGTCCATAATTTTCATTGACGAAGTTGATTCACTGCTATCAGAACGTTCAAATAACGAACATGAAGCAAGTCGTCGATTGAAGACTGAATTCTTAGTAGAATTTGATGGACTGCCGAGTAATCCTGAGAATGAAAAGGTATGCTTGACATAGTCACAAAACTACTGCAAGATATATTTTTGAATTTTCAAGGTTCTAGTGATGGCAGCTACCAATAGACCCCAAGAACTGGATGAGGCTGCTTTAAGAAGATTTCCGAAAAGGGTATACGTGACTCTTCCAGATCTGGATACAAGGGCGAAATTGTTGAAGAAACTGCTCTCAAAACAAGGTTGTAAGCTGACGTCACAAGAACTTATAAGATTGGCAACGCTTACTGATGGATATTCTGGTAGTGATTTGACTGCTCTAGCCAAAGATGCTGCACTTGGACCTATCAGAGGTAATTACTAAAAATGATTTGTTGTCATAAGCCTTAAATTGTTTACAAAGATTGAATAGGTAGTAGCTTCGGTGATTCTATCCTCTGCGTTTTATTGCAAGGTTTCAAATTAATCTTAATGAATACTTTTGTGATTACTATTACTTCCGATTCAACTTCAATAATGCTACTTTGTCATTTGTTTTGTTTTGCTCTGTTTTGACCTGAATACATCTGAAAGCTTATTTTCTTATCGTTTGCGCAACCTTAATTTTCCACCGTTGTTGGAAAATGGAAGTAAAGTTCATGTATGTGGAATTTTTACAGTTTCTATATAAACGTCTACACATCTTTTATCTATGAAATATCAATACATCTATCTCAATATACAAAGTAATAACTATATATTTCAAACTAAGAGACAAAGTAATAACTATAAATTTCAAACTTAGAAAAATGGAATTATCCAAATCTTCAGCTTTATTACATTGTTGAATAAAGAGTGTTACTTTTATCTCTTCATGCTCATTTTGAGTATCATGCTCACCTCAGCTTTCCATGTACTCAAAAATTACATTATATAATTGTACAATCCAACCTCATTTTGATTATTGTGCTAGTCTTTTATACTCATTTGACCAAAATAAGGTATCGGCTTTACAAAAGTTACAGAATCGTGGAATGAGAATTATTTTACAAGTGAATAGGTATTCTAGTATATCAAACATGTTAAGTACATTGCAGTGGCTGTCTGTTTCCCAGAGACTATACGAGTTAGTAATTTTTCTATTGGTTGAATTGATTGACCTCTTTTTACGAGTGGAATTTAATGCGGTAAACCAAACTTTATTGTAATGTGAATTCCCACTTTCTTCCTGTCGAAATATATATAGATAAAGATGAGTACCATTCTCGTCATTCCCAATTTGATGTAAATTTAAGAGCCACCGGAGGCTACTCCCGCACTGCATAATTTTTCTTGTGTTCAGAGATACCATGTATTGCTCTAGCTCTGTGACATATCAGCAGAAGCAGAACATACAAAAAAGGCACCCACATTATGGTGTTGTAAAAGGTGCAAGTGCTCAATATAACTCTCCAGAGCTACTACCAAAGACTTAATAGGAAAGCGTTAGAAATACAGAAACACAGACACGATTTGAAATGAAAGAAAGAGAGAATGAACATAAAGAAAATCCAGCTACCTGCACTAAATTACACAAGTAAAAGGTCACTTCAATTCAACCAATAAGAACAAAGCCACGTCTACTACCAATGGAATAAAACTGGAATGATACGTTGAATGTAGTATCTGCTTTGAGAACAACTAGAGTCCATTTTTCTGTTTGCTCCTTACCTTTGATAATGTATACCGCTTTCGTAGATGGAACCCAGTCATAAAAACCTGCAGACAACGGCCAAGAAACCCGATAAGTAGCTTTGACACAGACATTGTTGAAGTATTTACAATGTCCTGTCAGAGACAAAATGTAGTTATTTTTTTTAACTGAAGTGTTGTCTTTAATTTTCCTAGAGCTGCAGCCGGAACAAGTAAAGCAAATGGACCCAAATTCAATTCGTAGCATAACCATTGCTGATTTTTTGGACTCCTTGAAACGCATCAGAAGAAGTGTCTCGCCGCAAAGCCTTGTTGCTTACGAAAAGTGGTCGTTACAGTATGGTGATGTGTCATTATAAAATTCACATTCCAATTTACTATGGATTCATTTGTTTTTGTTATCTGTGATAAGTATCGTATTGTTTTTGATACCATGTGCGTAGAAACTTGATAATGCTCTGTTTAGATGTAGGTTTTAGATAGTTAAATTAATACCTTTTTGTAATTATTGATTTTAATTTGTGCTATTGAATTTTTAGTTGTTTTCAAATTTTAATTTATCTGTTTCATTAACTGCACAAATGCATCGTCGTGTATATATTCTGGTGAGTTTATCTATATATTTGTTTTTTTGTTTATGATAGCTGTTCTTGTAGTATTTTGACTTGTTGATTCACTTGAAAAGTGTTTCTTGTTTTATTATTTTTCCACACTAGCTGGCACAAAAAGCATAAACAATTCCTTTTGGACCAACACAAAGTGTCTAAATTTGCAACGCTGCTTCTTTTGAAGAAAATATTTATAATTCTACTGATATTAAATTTTTTCAATATTTTTGTGTGTGTTTATTATTCACTATCAAAAAAACATTGAATAATTCACCTAGAATTGATTTTTGTATTGATTCAATATTCTTACAAAATCCTGCAAACAACTAAAAGAAAAGGCGATTTTGAGAAGCTCAGTTCATTGTTTTTAGAAACTGGATCTTGCCCAAGTTGTTACTTTGTTCATAGAGATATTGGATCTCTTCAACTTTTGTCATATCTTTGAATTATACAGGTTTTTGGTAGTTGAATAAAAGCTTGTAATGGAAAGGGATATTATTAATAGGTGCTAAACTTGGTTCCTCAAGTCAAATGATAATGTCTTTGTATTTTCTCCAATCATAAGTAATTTCAATTAAACGCCTATCTTCCCTAAATAAACTTTACTACTTTTGTGTATTTACAGTATCTACCCCTTTTTTTCAAGTTTGCAGATCACTCAATATCAGCAGTTTCTTGAAACTTTCCAGATACTGAATTGTGATTCACTTTAGGATTAATTTTTACAAAACATTTCATTGGTTGAGCTGTATCAGTTTACTTATCTGAATATCTATATTTCAATACTCATACAGAGACGGAGACCTTCAAAATTATTTTTGTAGACACTCATTTTCATTAT